ACATTACCAAATTAAAAACTTAAAAATTTGAAGCAAATGTTTTTTAGCCAAATCAAACAAGAAGAGTACTCACCACAGGGAACCCAATCTGCTATTATAGGTGAAAGTTAACCCCCCCTTGTATCTGTAATTTGGACCATTTGTAACGGGCACCCCCTCCAGTATTAATCGGCAGGTGCCAAGTAAGCTCTGTGCCAAATTTGACACTTTTGTCACGTCTGTAACGATCCGGCCTATATTTTGCACTAAGAGACCTGACTATGCTTTTACAGTACCAATTAAATTGGACCAATGTGTAATTGGCTTAAGTTAGCTTAAGTACGCAAAGAAAAACAATGACACTCGGAGTCGCGTGTTTTTAAAAAACATGTCAGACTGCTTAAACGTCGAACAAGCCTGCTAAAAGAGGTCCGAAGCCAAAAAAAATCGGCCAATCTAATCACTGTAGCATATGTGGGTGATGGTTATACGTCGATAGCGCTTGGCAATGATCCCGTTCCCTTAAAGCTACAGATAATCTTTGAAAAAGATCTTGGTTTTACCGTTTCGCCAACAGAAGATCAGTCAAGTAGGGTTTGTTCGCTTTACAGTAAAAAGGTTAGAAGCACCTGGGCTGAACTGTTTTCTGTTATTAAAACCAGCTTTCAAGAAAGCGAGCACGACGATGATAGGTTTCGGTTTAAAAGAATGTCCACATCACCTCATGGTTCCGAGGCAAGGTAATGCAATTGCTGAAACGCTAGCTTCTCTCATTGCCTAAACTTGATGATATTTGATAATAGATCGCAATGGCGATGCAACTAATACCACGTTCTTTTCTCTTTGTTTGAGTTTCACTACCGCGAACAACTGGTAAATTTAAAAACCTTTTCCCAAAACCCGTGGGAGGAACCGCCACAACATCCTTTTGCCCCAGTAAACCGAAAACAGTCTGGCGCTGCCCTTCTTTGAGCACCTATTTGCTTGAAAACTGTGCCAACAGTCGTCAAGCACGCTTTCCATAGTCTACACTCCGAAACAAAAGATATGGTCAACACAAGCTTGTAGTATGACTGCAGCCCAAGTTCACAATCTATGTTACTTTTTTTATGCAAATTACAATATATTATTGGTAAGTGTCGCGGTTAGCGCGCCCGGCGATAACAAACGCTGCTACTCGCAGGACGCGATCGTGATGAGTCGTTGACATGATGATGACAGGATAATCGCCGTTCAGCAAATGGTAATTTGCTTTTCTCGGGAAAAGCAAGTTTCAGTTGCTTCCAAAGATGTCTACAGACCGTCTACTTTCTTCTTCCCTACCCCTACCTCCTTGCGCTGGCGGTCAATAATTCCCCGCGGTTTTTTAGTTTTTATCACGCGCGCTCGACGGACTTTGAAGAGAAAATAGAGGGTCTGTGAACAGGCTAGCCTAATGGCCGTATCCACTTTTTTAATTCATTAGATGCTTTTCACTTCTTATTTCATCTCTGCTTTTCATTCACTGGAGAAACTGTTTTTACATGTCCCAATGTGCGAAGGTGATGCCATCCTAACCCTTTTGTTCGTTCGTTATATATTTACATCTTTTGCTTGACGTAAATGAAGGATGTGTGTGCGCGCTGAGCAGTCCTACCATTACGCTGCCAAAGGATTACGATAAAACTTGCTATTACTGCATAATATTCGCAAGCTATGAAAAAATACAATTTTCCGCTTACCTTTCGAGCGTACCGCCTCATTGGCTTGTTTCATATCCTCGACACTAGCTTTTAATTCGTCCATTTCTGTTCTCACATCTGTAAGTACTGTTTTGACTTCTGTCACAAAAACATCCATGTTTTTATTAACATTTACCACTCCAGCTTTCACTTCGTTAACGTTTGACCCAACATCTTTCACCGAAGTTGTCACATCTCCTAGTCCAGTTTTCATATCTTTCACGTGTGCCCCGACATCCTCCACCGTGGTCCTCATGTCTTCCATTCCCGTGTTAACATTCTTGACGTCTGACTCGACTTTTTCCACTTTTGTACGCGTATCTAGCACTTCAGTTTTGACATCTTTCACTTGGGAACAAACATCGTTCACTTCTTTCTTTACATCTTCTACCTCACTGCTTACATTCGTCACGCCCGAGGCGACATCTTTGACTTGATCTTCGATATGGTATATGCCATCCTCGATCGCCCTCAAATTCTCCTGTCTTAACTCTAGTTCCAACTGTTGAACCCTGGCAGTGGGAAAGTCTCCTTCCGCCAGCTTTCCAATGTCATCGATCCTGGTAGAGCTTTGTCCAAGTGCTGCGAACGCATCTTTAGATAGCTGTATATAATGGTCAAAGGTTTTCTTAACAATCTCGGAGTTGCTATTGTGGCAAAGACTGTTTCGTAATAAACGAAGCTGATCCAAAGCTAAGGCAAATGTCTCATCGTTGTTTCCCGAAGGGCTTGTAACGCTCGAATGGAATGCCCCGCTGGGTAAACGATAGGGTTTCACATACAGATCGGCTAGGGTCTTTCCTTTCCCGCCTGGAACTGGCAATGCAAAGCTTTGAGCATAGAGAGTGGCTTCAAACAAAGCCGTGCAGTCCCACTCCTTATATGACTTCATGGTTGGCACAGTTTTGGTCTTTCCACCCTCCTTATTAAGGAACATCTTCCTAACTAGTGGCGAGTCATCCCATACCTTGAAGCCGGTAGGGGCAACATTGGTGTCCCACAAGTGTACAAAATACCTTGCGCAGCGCTGTTGGAAATTCATCAAGAACAACAGTGGCGAACTTGAAATAGTTCAGTTGTTCCAAGGAAAATGTACTCATGTTCGGCAAAAAAATGATTCAGTGATAGCTCGGGTTGGAAGCTACATCTCACTCAAAGGAAAATCTAAAAAAGGAAATGAAACGCATTTAAAGTATTGATCCTTTTGATATTAATTTACCTTGCACGATAAATACGATAAAGTGATTCTACTTAACTCGCGACCTAGGTATAGCAGACTGTTACTCACTATTATAAACTAATTCTAATGTCTCCTTTTTTTTACTCGTAGCTCTTTGTCATAAGTTGTTAGAATCTATTTCACACGTTTAGTAAAATCACTCTAATCTCCGCGTAATTAGAACTGAGATCATCGCAGTTAATGATTTTCCTTCATTCATTATTTCATAATGTTAATAATTGTTTGTATTATATTGTTCATTCATTTAAACTATCCAGTTTCCAAAATAATAACATCTTTACTTCGAGGGTAGAACTTCTGTATAAGCATGCAACAAACCGATGACATTCTCGCATTGAGTGTGCTACGTATAACCTCTACTACTGAAGTCCTTTCATATACTGCAACTATTTACATCAAAGGCAATAAACACTTCGACTGGTTTTTTCAACTCTTGACATGTATGTACCAGTTAGAAAATTCGTCGAAACCACTGGAAAGAGCACCTTAATATCAGTAAACTTGCCAAATTTGAAAGTGACATCTTAAGCGTGCGAAGATACAGCTCCGGAAAGTTGCGAAAATATAAAGAAGTTTGAATGCTGTGCGGCAAGTTTGTGCCCCCCACCACACACTAAAACGTCAGTCTTTAAAATTTCGCGACTTTGAGATGCTTTATCTCCGTTAGGTTTCAACAAATCACTGTCAAACTTCGCAACATTTATTGAATTTAAGGGCGGTTTTTTCAGCTAGTCGACAGATCTATTTTCCCTGACGTGTCCACGAACAAAGTTAAAAAAGAAAAGTTGGAAAGGTCTATTACACGTCAAGCAATTGCTGCAATGCCTTGTCTTTTTGGTTTTTTTTTTTCTGAACCTACGCGCAATCTTGAGTGCCAGAATCATCTGACACAGTCTTCTCGATTGCTTCGATTTACATGAGAATCGGGCTTTAAAGTTCGAATACTTGTATAACTTCTGTATTTAGTTCTGAAAATACTTGAATTCCCATCGCAGGCACCATCTCAACACGGCTGCGTATAAAAGTACATCATTACAAACAAGTGACTTCCAGAAGTTTCTAAAATTAGGGAGGGACTTTCCCGATTAATCCGACGTGAAAGTAGAGCATATCGATGAGCTTTCGCGCGGAAATTCATAGTAAGCAACCGAATTTACAATAGACCTTGTTACGGTTTTCGACGCCATCTTGACGAGTTGGCAATGCAAACGCGTGAGAAATTACTGTGTTTGTATGAGAATCTAATAGAGACCTTTAGCATCAGGCAAACCGCAAACCGCAGTTTGCTGTTACGCGCTTGCAGTTTCGCATTGCCGAGATTTCAAACTTTAGCAAGGCGTTCAGTTCAGTTCAGTTCATTTTTATTTAGCCAAAATATAATACAATACAAGAATACATATAGGAATTGTAAGGTTGCAAGGGAGCCCAGAAGAAACCAGAGGGCTTATGACGCCTGGGCTCCCCAGTCTCAAAGAAATAAGCAAAACAAGACGCTGTAGGAGCGTATATTTGGGCGCGGTCGTACTACGCGTATGATACTTTGAACATGCCTTATTGCAGCTAAACAACTGTCATCATACCTTACCAGAGAAGATAAATCCTTTACTCTACTTGTTTGCTGAACCACACAGTTTACACAGTATGTCCCAGTCCAGAACAAAAATCCTGTCATTTGAAGACAATGTTTGAAAATATCGCATCTTCAATGCCGACATGCTTGGAGCCAAATTGCAACATAGGACATAAGTAGTTACAGCCCAGAGAGTAAGGTTTATCTCAGCTCCACTGATACTGACACAGGAAGATTGACTGACAGATGTGTTTTCACACCCATCAAATTGTACAGGGTATTCCGGTTACTAACAAGGGCAAATAAAATTCCTTAAGTCCAGTATCCACAAGGATTAATAAGAGAGTAACACACGCACATTGCATAAACTGCTATAGGGCAGCACTGTTTACAGGAACATTGGTAACTATTAACATTTGATATAGTATAATGTTCAACATTGCTTGAGAAAAGATGAGCTTCAAAGATGGCAATATGTACACCTTTAAGTTCATATATATATTAATATATCCTCATTCCTATGTACGGTCTGAAAATATTGCACTAATTTATGCATGGATGGTATTTCCAACAATACACATGTCCCTTCACTATGACTGTTATGATATATATCTCTAGCGTGAGAATCAAATACTTTATATTCCCCAGCCTCAATGCTGTAGATACCAACACCAATAATTGCCACCGTTATAATGAATGAGTTGTAGTTCAGTGCCAAGAGTGTTTCAAATGCTGTACCCTGTGAGTGGCATATACAGTAGTGATACCCCTCAATTCTGGGATCATGGATGTTACAAGTATAGCTGTCACTGTATTCAAGGTGGAAAAATTGCTCAAACACTGTACCCATTCCTAGCAATTCTGTTAACATTGACACAGATTGTCTTGCAAGCAGTGACAGACTAGAATATAATTGAATACCAACCATCATTATTTGAGTCATATCATCAACTGACGTAATCTTTGTTATCTTACTGTAAATTAAAGCGCACAGACTCATTGGCAGTGCGACACATTGTTGTCCAGCATTTTCCCCAAATACTGTAACGTTTCGTTGACAGTATGCAGCATGAATTGTTTTAGTAGCATCTACATAACCTGAAGGTCCTGGATTCTTCTCGATATCAGTACAAAGCTTAAATTGGCCAAACTTAACCCGGTGATTCAAACTGTTGTAAGCACCATAAAATGGATAATTGCATGTACAGAGGGGCAAATTCTTACTTAAAAGCCTATTTGGATATCTCATTCCACCTAAATCGCCTGTGCTTCAATGCTTAGACGACAGATACACCTTCCCTCGTTAACGAACTAGTTTTGGAGTTGCCCTTTAATTAAAAACCTCACACTGTTACAGTTATTCTGTACCTGTTTAAGTGTAAACCTTTTCTATTTTTAACGTAAGAATGAATTTTAGACGACAATGGTGTATTTTTCCGAATACCCTTCCATACAAAAAGCCTCACCTTCCGTGTTTTCTGTAACAAAGATTTTAATTTTTTTTTAATCGGTAGTCTGCTAGGTGCACGATCGCGTCGAGAAAAATGACTAACCTTATTTAAACCAACGGAATTGTAAGTTCTGTTATTAATAAATTTCCCACGACGAGATCTCAATTCAACTTCTTTTACTTCCTCCATAACACAATTTTCCTTCTGTACAACTAGCTCATTACCTTCTCTTGTCGTCACCTCGCTGCCATCAAAACACTCTAACACAAAACTTGCTGATAATGCAAAATCCCGACGCACAGCATCGTACATGTACCGCGTCACAATATACACAAGTAGATGAAAAACTCGGCACAACACGCAAAACAAAAACAAGCACATTAACCGTCACCCTGCTAAACAAAATTGAAATAATAAAAAGAATTGTTACAGTTATCACAGTAGTTCCAAAAGAAGCCTCAGTCCCTTTTGGTTTCAATTGTTGACAATCGTCTCTTCCTTCATCGGAAGAGATTTTTATCACAGGCAACTCGTTGTGTTCCACAGTGCAAAAATCAAAATCACTATTGTCACACTTATAACCAGCGACACAAACTCTTGCGACTCTCAAACTTATTAAACATTCCTGTGTTCAAACTCTTATCCATTTTATACGTACACTCCTGATATTCCGATTTGTCATGGCGTCCATGGGGTGTCTTTGATATCATTGAATGTCTTGATAATTTCCTTTGTTTTTCTTTGAGTTCGCGGACCAGTCCATTCCGAAAACACTCAGTGTTATTTTTTAGTGTGGGCCTACCGCGAACAGTGTGTGCATTTGTAAAGTTTAACCCGGGATAACATAATTAAACAATATATTAACACGTTCCTCGAAACGCAGAGGCCAAATGTTATCCAAATTGCTTCTTACTGCTGCTTCGAAAAATTTCGGATCAAACGATATCCAAATCGTCCCACATTGGATTATCAACTCGACCTAACAAAATCGACCAATCACAAAATAAGGAAAAGAAAATGGACAAAATAAATTCAGCACATTCAGATGACCTCTTAGGAAACATGCAATTAAAACTGTCTTTCTATGAGTTCAAAAGGTCATTGTTTGTGATTTGTGATCGGTGGATTTCGATCCGTTTTTTGAGTTTCTGTGTTTCAAGTTTCGTCGCTTGCGATCTTATTGTGACCAAAACCCGACGTTAATATTCCAAATATTTTTGATAGATTTCATCCCTGGACTTCAGACTTCCAAATTTCGATGAGGTAAAAATACTGAAGATTCAGATTAACTTTTGAGATCGTAAAAGTGTGATAGTGCCGTGCTAGCAGAGCTTTCTTTCCCATATGCCTCTTACCTTGTACAAGACGTTCGCATGGCAGACCTTCGCCTCGCTTCGCTTGTTTACTTGCCTTGTTTACGTTAGCACATAATTCGTGCCTATCGCACATTTGCGTCAAAACAAGCCGTTTCCATTACTCTATTTGGGCCACGCCCAAATAATAAAATGAAATTCGCGGAGTGATCAATAAAAGTAGCAACTAAACAGAGACTGAGTTAAGTTATGAATTCAGTAACAAGATAGAAAAAAAAAATTAACTCTGGAACAGGATACTTTCTTTTGTTAGTACGGCAGGAAAGAATATAAAATCGATTTGAACTACGCGTACATTATTTAGGGCCGCCATGTTGTTTTCATCAAGTCGAAGTGCATCACTTTAATTGCCCAAAAATCAACAATAATTCATTGATTCGAGATCAAAAATCCAACAAACACATCCCAAACGGATATAAAAAGCTAGTTCATACCTTAAAACGCAAGGCTGTACAAATTTTTGTGGCACAAAACCTTGCCGTAAATCATTTACAGCTGGAAGCCCTTCCTGCGGTTCAAACGTGAACTGCAAACTGCAAAAGTGACCGCAAGGCCGTGGTCACGTGACATTTTTCGGTTTGCAGTTTTCCATGAAAAACGCGATGCTGAAGGTCTCTAATGTCGTATAATTTCCGTAGAACAGCTGTTCTGAAAAAAAATATATGAATTGTAAACTAAAGCTTCACTAAGAATTCTCCTGAAAAAATCGAGGGCGTTACATGCACTAAAAGACCTAGAACCATTTTTTAAAATTTTCTATACATTTGTCTGTAAGAAAGCCCGGGAAAAATTACAGACACATATATGGAAAATCTTAGGCAAGCCTCTGGAGAAATTTAACCACAGGTACGCCCCCCCAAATTTTAAAGACAATCCTTTGCTTTGTAGCTTTAGTTTGCAATTGATGTTTTTTTGAGAACAGCCGTTCTACGGAGATTATTCGAGATTGGATTCTCATACAAACACTGTAATTTCTCACATGTTTGCCTACTTGTCAACAGTTCGGAATATCCCTAGTTTTAGAGACAGTTGTGACGTCATGGAGCTATTGTTCTCGGGGAAAATGGCGGATAAGACCAGAGGTCACTGATTTCGGGGCTCTCAGGCATATTTCGAAGGCTTTTCATGAGGCATACACAATTTTGAGAGTGCTGCGTATTGGAAGCCATAATGGAAGTACCTCGTGATATACTCAGCACATTTTGTTGCTTATTTCTCCTTTTAAACAACGCGATGAAGCCGAGATTTTGGTCAAGGTAGGTCAACAAGTATCTATTATTTTTTGGATTCACAGATTTTTGACGACGTTCTAGATATTTTTCTATGGAGCGGTATCGGGGTCAAAATAACTGGAAGTCTGTTTTTGCCTTCGAGGTACGAGAACGCGACCCCTAATTTCTGTTGGGCGTACTGTGCATTATTGGGTGTCCTGTGCAATTTATAAGGGAGGTTTTTTTGAGATTGCATTTGTGTCGACACACTTTTGCCTCGCTTTGAGGCGCTTGCTTACGTTTTGCCTCACTTTGACGCGCTAACTCACGTGGTGATTCGTGTGTCCTCGGCGTTCATCTTTCAAACGTTTGCTGAGGTCTGCTATTCTGTCTTTGTAAAGCGTATATCTTTTAAAAGAGTGCTGAATCTTCCTAAAGCGTACATATTTCAAGAGTTTGCTGAAGGTCTACCTACTCTACCATCGATGTGTGTTTGCTGAATCAAAAAGTTGTTCTGATTTTTAAAATTTCCGTGGTTTTTTAATATCATTGTAAATTGATTTCCTTTGCTACTAATTTATTCACATTCGTTTTAAACATCTCTCAATTTTTTAAGNTTGTCTATGTCCGGCCCTCATACGCGTTCGACCATAAAAAAAAAACATTATTTCTCTTTCTTTTTCTGCAAAATTTTAAAAGGTGACGGAGGAGGGTGATTCTGGAGTAATTTTTTTCCAGAATCCAAAGTCCAGTCCAGGGTCCAGTCTAGATTTTAGGATACCCCCGAAATAGACAAGACAAAGCCACAGGGAGACAAGACGACACAACAAGTAGACAAGGCGACAGAACAAGTAGACAAGATGACATGACAAATCGTCAAGACGACATAACAAGTAGACAAGACGCGTCCTCGTTCCCAGTCGTCATCGGTGATTTCGGATGTGACGTCACCTGTCAGGCTGGTCGGTTCCAAGCCTCCGCTGGTAACTCGGATAGCGCGAACAGGCCTGGGTACGAGGCTGGACAAGACGACAGAACAAGTAGACAAGATGACATGACAAATCGGCAAGGCCGACACAACAAGTAGACAAGACGACAAAGAAAATAGACATCGAGTTCTTTTTGACCCTGATACCGCTCCATAATTTTTCCTCGACTCTCATATCTATTAACTTTTATGTTGAATGTGGGGATGGTAAGACAACCTAGAATTTTGGTAGACAATTTTTGAATTCAGAGGTCCAAAACACGTGTTCCACTCCCGGGTTTCACGCAGACATGGCAGAGCCGTGTTATCCCTTTTTTCGCATTAATACGAGCCTTTGTCGTTTTCCTTTTCAAGGTATGCTCATTTATAGTCTTATGGATATTCACGTCCAACATCTCTCCTCACTTTGCCGAATTTGCGGTAATAAAATTAAAGATCATAAGCGCAAGTCCAATGAGGTAGATAATAACAGCCTTGTTTCTGAAATTCACCAAATCTGGAAAGATTTATTACGCGGGATGACGTAGTCAGCCAGCGTCTTAAATTCAGGAGCGCATTCCTTTCGTATTCTTGGGAGTCAAAAATTGCCTTGTTTTTTTAACTTTCCCGTATCCCGTGCCCGTCCCGAAAAATTGTGTGATTTTCATTGGCTGCGACTTCGAATCACATGCACGTCAAGTTGGATTGCACAAGCAGAAAAAAAATACTTCGTCATCAAAGAAGGGAAAAGTAAGCTTACTGCGTAGATGAGGACAAAGACTCAAGGAGTGTGCTCTAACGGCACAAGGCTTGGCCCCCGGGGCTTGGCCTCGGGCGACTGAAAATATTGTCCATGACGCCCAGCCGGGCGACATGCTGGTGTCATGTGAATTCACATGGAACGACCTTTGAACGTCAACGCGCGGCCGCTGCCCGATTTAACGACATGCTACATACAAGTCGACCTCAAGAGTTTCTTAGCAAGCGGAGCGTTCTTTTTAGGCCGCGAAGCGACTGAGCGGGCTACGATTTCGCAAGTAATAAATTCTAGACAGCAAAATAATCCTTGACAGTTTTCGATTTTAACAGCTTTTCAAAATATCATTACATTTTTTCTTTAGATTAGGATGGTT